CTCTTTCCCAGAGGTCAGCTTTGCTCAGGTCTGGGGTTTTCTTTAGGCCCAACCTTAGGTTAACCTAAAGCTGAAAGAAAATGATGCTCAACACTGGTTTGCTTCGGCCCGTATCAGGTTGATTTTTAATTTAGCCTAACAGAAAACAGATTTATTAGTGATAAATGCTATCTCCATTTTTTGCACAAGGTGTGTATTACTTGCCTCGGACCTGGTCTACACTTAAAAATTTAGATTGTTCTTTAGGCCCAACCTTAGGTTAACCTAAAGCTGAAAGAAAATGATGCTCAACACTGGTTTGCTTCGGCCCGTATCAGGTTGATTTTTAATTTAGCCTAACAGAAAACAGATTTATTAGTGATAAATGCTATCTCCATTTTTTGCACAAGGTGTGTATTACTTGCCTCGGACCTGGTCTACACTTAAAAATTTAGATTGACCTAGCTATGTCATCCATGGTTGTAAAAAACAAATCACAACCTTAAGGCCCATAGTTAAGCAAAACTAATCTCCATACAACAGTGACACAGCTTCAGTGCTGCAGCTGCACAGCTGAGGTGCCCATACTGTAGATGTGTCCCCTCAGACTGTTCCATGTGGAAGCTTGCAGGCCCTACTGGGATTCATCATGATTGAGTAGCTGAGCAGTAAGGAGTGAAACACTAATGTCGCTGAGAAATTAGCCCCATACCCCAAGAGGAGGGCACACTCTCTAGTGTGGTTTACGCAGATGCCATCAGAGTTCATTTTGAGTTTATGCAGCTTGATATCATAAGCTCTTTTGCTAGGAACAGCTCCCGAAATGTATTCACATAAATAGAGCTTCTAGACGTGAGACTGACCCTGTTTCATTGAGAGCTGACAGAAGATTGTTGGGTCAAGCTGCATATACAAAATGGTTCACTAGACTCAGGGGCATTTACATTGGAAGCCCCATAAAGAAACAAAATGGAACTTTCCACCATGGGTCCAAGAGACAGTTATATTATTAACTTGTTTTGCTGCATGAAAATTCAATTTTTGCTTTCCATTTATTTTCCATTTAAATTAATTTTAATTACCCTCTAAGCAGCAAGCAAAATAAAATGGCTGCGTCTAGACTGGCGCTTTTGCGGAAAAACTTGCCAGCTGTCTACACTGGCCGCTTGAATTTGCGCAAGAACACTGACGATCTAATGTAAGATTGTTAGTGTTCTTGCGCAAATACTATGATGCTCCCACTCAGGGATAAGCCCCCTTGTGCAAATGCTTTTGCGCAAGAGGGCCAGTGTAGACAGGTAAAAACTGTTTTGTGCAAAAAAGCCCCGATGGTGAAAATGGCGATCGGGGCTTTCTTGCACAAAACCGTGTCTAGATTGGCATGGACACTTTTCCGCAAAAAGTGCTTTTGCGCAAAAGTGTCCATGCCAATCTAGACGCTCTTTTCTGCAAATGCTTTTAACAGAAAAACTTTTCCGTTAAAAGCATTTGTGGAAAATCATGCCAGTCTAGACACAGCCAGCATGATTTACAGCACATTTAATAACAATTCCATTGTTCATCTTCTGACACAGCTGCCTGCAGTAGCTACGTAAATTTTAAAAATAGTGTAGGTTGAAACAGCCCTGATGTTTTCTGGAGAAAAACTGCAGCAATGATATTCTGTCGTCTAACTGTGTGGGGATCCTTATTCCTTTCCACTTCCCTTCCTATAGTTAGTCTATGAGGGTGTGTGAAATGCCCACTCGTTCAAAATGAAAGATGCTTTCAATACTTTTGCTATGGAAGATGGTGAAGATAGTGCCTGCTTCTAAGCGGTTGGTATTTTGATACTGCACATGCTATGCCTTTGCCTTCTGTGAGACTTCCACATTACAGTAAAGCGGAATAATGATTATTCCTGTTTCCAAGGTGCGAAACACTGTACAAACATGTAAAAAGAGATAGTTCTTGTTCTGAAGACCTTACAGTCTTGAGACCATGTCTTCACTTCCTGGAAGATCAATGCTCTGGTGGTCGATCCACCGAAGTTCAATTTAGCAGGTCTAGTAAAAACTTGCTAAATCAAATGCTGATGGTTCTCTCATCGATGCCAGAATTCCTACTCCTCATGAGGAGTAAGGGGAGTCAACAGAAGCATTTCTCCTGTCAACATCCTGCTGTGAGGGCAGCGCCGAACCTCATCTGAAGTTAAGATATGTTGGGTCCAGCTATGTTTTTTACATAGCTGGAATTACATACCTTAAACTGACCTTCAGCTGTTGTGCACATCTGGGTTTCGATCATTTTTAGATCATTACGGAAATAGACTGAGTTTTGCTGGCTTTGCAGAGCAATCTGAATGAAGGGTGCATTATGTAAAGCTGGTTACACTTGATCCTGCCCCATTGAAATCAATAGCAGTTTTACCATTACTTCAATGGGCTCCAGCCTGTGGTTCTGGCCTTTTTTTTTTTTTTTAAAGTTACGTTTATGCCCTTTTCATCGCCAACACACCCATTCCCCATGATGGTATATAGATGTATGAGCATTTTTATTTTAAAATGTTTGGTTTTATATCCCTGTTTAGTGTTTCACCTTCGAAATATTAGCAACACTTATTCCTTTCTTCCGTATTTAACTGGGCAATCTTTGTCATAGGTATCAGGCATGGACTGTAAGCTGCCTCTGTCCTTCAATGAAAGAGCTGTCTGCTCTCCTCCAGAAGAAATTCCCTCATGAGCCATAATTCACCTCTCCAAACCATGGGTATGGTATTTGAACCCCTTCCTGCTAGCAGGGAAGCACAAAAAGTCTTCACACTCTAACATTAGACACTGAATACATATTATATGAAAAACAAATGAGATTAAATGAAAAACAAAATTGGATAACCATCAATGTTCCAAGTGATATAACTGTTTCCATTCAGCACTGAACAGTCGCTGCATGTACTTGATACTATATTTGGCT